CTCGGATCGCAACAAATCGCACGCTAGTCGGGCAGCAGTCAGGATTCAACATTGCAAAACCAGCGAGAAAAAAAAGTGTCGGTCATTTTCGGTTAGTGGAATCAATTGTGGGATTTTTCGATGTGATATTCATGGCATCACACCCTCAACAAATCTTTATTCTATGCAGAATTTTGGAATATATTGGTGGGTGGGAGGAGGGTTTGCTGTGTAGCCATTTGGTTTAAATTACAAACCAATGTTTTTGCATATCGATTAGTTGTTGCAAATGGTGTTTGACCGCACACGTTTTCAAAATATTTTCAAAATGCAATTGTAAATCATGAAGCGAGAACCACCACTAGCGTACGTAGATCGCATAATAAAAAAGAATGACCGATGGTTTAAATGGTTGTTGTTTTTGAAATCGGCCTCAGACATAGCATGGCGTGTATCCATTGACAATTCAAAACAAACACGGGGAGGGAAAAACAACAAATATGTATCGCTTATGCAGCAAATTGCATGCTGCTGCTACCGTTGCTGATCAAGCGATGAGAGCAGAAAATTCATGATGACGATGGAAAATTATGCTGCTGCACATTGTTGTTAACCGAAGAGTGTCACTACATACCAAAATGGACTTTTCATTTTGAATTATTGATATGTATACAATATTATTGTTGAGGGCCACCACTCGTTCTCATTGTAATTAAAATTTATGTTGTTGTTTAGTGTGCGTAACGCTTTTATGTTCCAAAAACATTTCAATTGAATTCTTTTATTTATCCATCCATCCTATTCATTAAAATCGTGAGCGTTTCTCTCTCCCTCCCTCTCTCTCAGTGAATTTTCGAAGCGAACCACACCAAAGTTTCGAATCACAGACATGAGAATCTGATATGGATTTTTCCTCCGATTCGGTTTGTGTTCTTTTTTTGTCATTGAACACTCTACTGTATCGCTCCGCTCATTCCCATGTATCGTCGATCGGATGATGTGCTTTTGAATTTCGATAAAATAATTACCAGTTCGTTTCGGTGAATCATAATTATGTATTCGTCCGTAGATATATTTTAAAATAGAGCGCAGTTAGGTTCATGGAATTTGTCATTGCTCAACACACATAGCGCAATAATGCGTTGACAACATGCGTTTTCATTCTTTTTATTTCTCTCTCTCTCTCTTCCTCTCGATGCTTGTTGTCATGTACGGTTTGAATGGAAAATGTCGCACTTGTTTATGATCCGCATTCATATCGATGACTCAGTTGAGTGCGTTGTAATAACCATGAAATGTTTGACAATTAAATGCGACCGAAAGGAAAAAAAAAAATTGGAAATACCATAAAGAGTATATTTTTTGATGATCGGCGTGAATGATGGAAATGCGGCTAGATTATGGTTGAGTATTAAAAGAATTCATGTGGTTTTTATGTGCGTAATTTTCAGATTTTTCGTTTGATCGTTGTTACATTTTGTTGGCCCGGGTAATTCATGGCCGTAAGCGCTATTTGAAAGCACATTGAAATATTAGGCGTTAATTCATCAACTAAACAATTTATGGAACGTTAAAATTTGGTCTCATTCATACCGTGCGCGCACCATACAGAGAAAGCAATCTTTCCACATTTATTTGAAAATGCGCATTGGATGGAGAATTAGTGTTTTTCAATTTTTAATTTACGAAATTCGTTGTGCCGTTATAAACGATGATGACGACGACGACGACGTCGAAAATGTGAACAACGATGCTTTTGTTGCTGTTCGCGTGCTCGCTCAATGTTCTCGAGAGTATTTCAACATAGTTTTGAATTGACATCATCTTTAATTGCGCCTTAATTTAATACTTTTCCATTTGAAACAATTAAACAAATGAAATATCAATTTGGTATTTCTTTAAAATTTAATTCGATTTTATTTCATTTCGAAGCGGTTTACTTTTGAGGACAAATGTGATCGTTTTTTCCTCGGCTCTGTTTTTTTTCTGTATCTCTCTCGGTCGCCCTTTGAATGATGACTGGAACGAATCGAGCGGCATAGAAGAGAGGAAAGAAAAAGAAACAGCGAGATGTTCAGAGATGTTTTTATGATTGAATTCAATTCGAAATGAGCTCATATCATTATTATTACTATTTTTTTCTTTCTTTGTTTTGGCCAACCCACAGAGCAGTCGGTCGTGCGGGCACACATTCATTTGCCCGTTTGCACTTTTGTCTTTTCTTAGTTGCGGTTAGTAATTATGGTTTTTTTATGATCATCATAAGAATTGAATGTACATCGCAGTGCATTTCGATCGCTAAACAAATAGCAATTTTCAAACTTATTGTCTGTGAAAGGATAGACCTCGCACCATCGTATTCATATTACAAACAATAAGCATACACAAGCACATGCACAAATTTAGCATTGAAAATAATTGGAAATTATGGCCGACTTGTATATGATTTTGGTTTTTTTATGAGAATGTGCGCCGTATGCATTTTCACTGGGTTCACAAATAAACAGAAATTCGAGAGCGAGAAAAGGAGAACGAGATAGAGAGAAACAAATATATACAATCGAGAGCGAGTAATACAAACGCATATATATCCACACTCGGAACAATAAGAATTGAATAAATATTGCGCGATACAAATAGAAACCGAATGTATGCTTAATAAGCAAATCGCGCCTCACCATTTCAAATACACACCATGTATATACAACGCACGTTGTTGTTTCTTTTCTTTTTTTGCGTATATTGAATCCAAACACACATATCCCATTTTGAACTTACAGTGCATATTCCGCTCATTTGCTTGCTCGTTTGTTTGGTTTTTATGTTATTGCGTTGATTTCAATTCGTTTTCGGCATTTCAATCTCTTAGATGTGATTCGATTGTGGTGCAGTCATTTTCTCAAAACCGATTTTAATTATAGAGTTTTTTTTTGTTAGATTTTGTTTTTGAAACCAAGAAAAAATAAATCCGTTTTTCTCCTCTGTGTCTCTATGCACGCGATTGTTTCGAATGCAATTGCAACAACGACACATAAAAAATAACTTGACCTCGTTGTGATTCGAATGAACTAGATACATTTATCCAGCATTAATTTGTTGTCGAGTGGTGACAATATCAGTACATTTTGTTTTATACTTTTCTATCGTTTTGATCGAGCAGCCAGCAATAGAAAAACAAATCATTTTGTAATCTAATTGAAACGGTTAATTGGTGGTGCGGAGTACATGAACCATTCGTTTGACCATGACTATTGTTCATCCACTTTTCTTGTTTAATTTCCGCTCGAAATTGAAACTCGTTTATTCAGTCGCTTGCTCGCTCAGCATAATGCAAGGTTTATAAAATCGGGTAAAAAAATATATCCAACTAAACATTGAGCCGGATTTGTTTACTGAAAACAATTTTCAATGGAAATCAACGTGATTCTCTTTCTGCTTTTATCCCATTATAAAAAAAACAACATTTTTGCTACTACAACAGAATCTGACCGATTTCATAATATACACACACACACATTCGGTGTGCTTCTCCGCGATTGTTTCAATTTATAAATATCATTATTATTTGCGGAATTGTTCTGTTTATATTGAAAATAGCATGAGAAATACCGCAACAGCCGAGATGAGTGCGATGAGATGAGTACAATTCAGTTGCTTTCTCATCGCTACGGTATGTTCTGATGGGTGTCTAAGAACCAAAAACAGATAAAAAGAAGAAGAACAAAAAAAAACCGTAGCGGCATCAGCGCTTTGAACAACGAAACGAACAAAAAAAAATCGACCAAAACTAGAATTTTCGTATTTGTGTCAGTACTGAATTGTCACTGTTACAGGCACAGTTACGCAGTGTGAATAAGTCGATTATTCGGAAAAAAAATGCTATTTTTAGTTTAGATTTTTTTTTTGCAGTGGGTTAGGTTGAATTTTTTTTCTCTATCTCTCTCGAAAGCTATGTGAATACCTTTCTGGCGTGAATATACACTAAAATCTTCCGAGTTGTGTGTCTATTATTGTTGTTGTTGGTATTTCATGTGTTCGTTAAATCTCTGTACAGTATTTAGATGGTTTGCAGTGCAACATTTTTTCTCGTTCTGTCTCATATATTCCTTCCAAGTGTATCTCGTGTGTTTGTTTCGCCTGTTGGTTGTGTGAGTGTGCATATGAATTTTTGTTGATTAATTCGCTGTCTCTGTCACTGGTACGGTGTTCAATCAGCGTTTGGATGAGAGAAACAAGGCATTTCTATTGCGCAACTCCGCATTTAATTATGAAATGATGTCATGTTGGAGTTGTATACACAGAGCCAAAAACACACACACACACACATTGTTTGTATATTTCGTGTATGTTGGCCGTTCTTCGAAACAAAGAGCCGTAGAGAAAAGCGGTCAAAATCGAATACACTGAGCAACGGGCGCGTGACTGAGAGGAAAAACACACACACATTTGAAATGGATTGAACAGAGACACCCGAAAACGAAAGAAAAACAAAAACAACAAGACCCAATCCCAATACCAATACGCGCACAGCACAGTACACTGTATCGCTCACACACATTTTGCATAAAATCTTTGTTGTAACGGAATATTTTCATGATGGCAATCCATGGTCACACTGTCATATATAAATCAGTCCACTTGCTTACAGTCTCTAAAGATTTTTCAGTGTGTTTGTATGGAAGAAGAAACGGGCGAGCAAGAGCGACCGAGAAGCAGAGAGTGAGTTAGAGAGAGAGAGAGAGAGAGAGAGAGAGAGAGAACGAATGAGCCGTACACATGGAAACGGATCGTTCGCTTGTTCGAATATTGTCACGAGCGCGATGATAGAGGTGACTTGTACTGCTGCTTACTGCTTGTTGCTATTGCTGATACAACCGAATCGAAAATAGGCCACATTGTATTTGTGTATTCTGAAGTGGACGTTGTATGTTATGGAATTTTTCTGTACGGTTGGTTCGCATCGTGCTGCTGATTCCGACTTTATAACGTTTTGTTCGGTTGATGTTGCTGTGTGCGTTGTGTTTTCGACGCTCTGTCGACAATTCAACCACTATTCGTTTGCCACTCACTCGATTTGAGAGTCATACTGAACGATCGTCACAAAACATTTTTACCGTGCACCGAACGTAACATATTCGCTTGTGTTTTACTCTCTGTTAAATTATATGTATATTTTTGTTTCGAGTCAATTTCGTTCGCTCGTTGCGAAACAACAACACATACAATTAATTTTTTTTCCCTCTATAAGATACATATATATATATATATTTTTTTTTTTTGGTTTTATTTTGGGCAAAGAAATTGCCTCGAACTTTTTTGGGCGCAGAAACGAAAAATTTGCTCGGTCGGTCTGTTGAAAGCTGAAGAGTGAAATTATCAACAATTTTACAATTTACGGACAGTTGATTTGCTAAGTGTAACACGGATGAAGGAAACAAACCGCAAAATTGTTTGAACGAAACAAACAGAGAAGAAAAAAAATGTTTACAACATTTTTGGACATGTTCCAAACGAATTTTTCCACCAACGAAATTGAGTAAGTACCCCGACACCTTCATTTCTTATTTGAATTTAGTTTTACTGTTTCGCATTCCAATTGGAGAGCGACAGCCACAATTTTGAGATTGAGACATTGAATGTGTGCTGACAAGGCGTTGTTGCACACACTGAACGTGTGTTCAAAACGTTCGATCAGTTGAATTTTATACGGAGACGTACCACTTCTGGCATTTTGACTATCTCTCTCTCTGTGTGTGAAATGCATAACGACAATCATATAATTGGAATACATACGAGAATATTCCGATATACGAGATATGGAGCCACTAGATTGAACGAAAAAAAAATTCCATTGTTTCGAAGGCATTTCAGATCTCGTTCATATTCATGCCGCATATTTAAATTGTAATTATCTCGTTTAATTGAATTAATTTCATCTAGTTGAGAATTGATTCGGTGCTGCTGCGGCAACGACAACCCAATCAGAACAGTGTATGTGTGTGTGTGTGTGTGTGTGTATGTGCGCGCGTGCAAACTCGTTTTCAATCTGCTTAGAATGATGTTGGGCTGGCCAACATAAAAAAGAATTTAAAAATGCAAACTCTGAAATAGCCACCAACCAAATTAAGATTAGCGCGCACCAAGTTTTGCACTAAACAAACGGCAACCGCAAATGAAGTGTGCACAACGCAAAAACTGGTCACTTTAGCGGGCGCACTGTGTTGGTTTTGGCCGCGTTTTGTTCGATTCTGGCGTGTGAATTTTTTTCTTCGCTCCTTTTTTGTTGTTGTTGTGTTGATTGTTATTCTTGGTTCAAACAAATGGAAAGAAGCGAAGGAAAAAAAAGTCGGTTGTCGTTCGTAATGCGACGAATCGATCGATTCGACGTCAGTGGCGGCGCACAAGTGAGCGAAAGAGAAAGGATTACATGCAGTAGAGGCAGAGAAAAAAACAGAAGGCAAAAAAAATTATGACCAATAAAATTTTATTTAAATTGAATCCATCGAAATGAGCACGATCACAAAAATACAAATACGTATGCACACAAAATGCGCACTCAAATTGTAAACGAAGAGAAAAATAACCAGGCAACTGGTAATTCAACCCGCTTCTGACATTTTTTTTTTTCATTTCCCTCATCCAAACAATGTTCCAGTTAATTATTCGTTTTCGTTTCTCTCTTTGTTCCGTCCACCGGATTAAATTAAAAATCTTAACGGTGTTTTATTTTAAAACTATTATTCACTTTTGACGATTTAGCTGCAGCGCGAAAAGAGCAAGCGAGAGAGAGAGCGATAGAGGCAGAACAGTTTTTAATTGCAAATGCAAAGCTGTAGAAAAAAAAGAACATTGTATTGAAACGAAAAGGCTTTTTGTTTTCTGTTATTTATCAATTTCACACATGAAATCCGCTTTGTTCAGCGCAAATCTCGGATTGTTGTTTGATTTGTCGTTGTTGAGATTTTTGTTTTCTTGGAATTTAATTTTGTATTTTGTCAATGTCTTAATGGGGCCATTATTATCGATAATCGTAGTATGAGAGACGCGTACGCGTGCGCGTGAGTCACACACACGGAGAATCGCCCGCGCGCTCAATATTCAAACAATTGACTCAAAATCCGTTATCAATGTTATGTTTCGTAAAATGCATAAACATTTAGAACGGAAACTAAACAAAGGCGGAACGATATTTCTTAACCGAAATTCAGACGAAAACAAAAACACAACAAATATCCGTTTAATGTAATATTTGCACTCTTTTTCGATCTTTTTCTTTCTTTCTCTTTCTCTCTTTCCCTCTCAGTCGCCCACTCTCTTTCTCGCTCATATTCGAACGATGAAACATCGTAGAGATAAGATGAATGAGATTTATTATGGATTTGCGCGTTTTTTTCCTTCTTCTGTGGAGGGGATTTTAGCGTTAAAAATCCACTTGGAAATCAAGCTCGATTCAAGTGTGTGTCTTCAGCATTCACAAAACGATAAAGTGCAGAATGAGAGTTGCAAAAATTAATATTTTCACCGTAGCTCTGGTGAAGAAAAGAATAATCGCAATTCAATAGATTTTTAAGCATGCTATTATGTGCAGTAAGTGCGTTTCAGTTCACTTGATTTCTAGTGAGATGAAATGTGATGGCATTTTTCTAAAGTGGGCATTTTACAGAGCAGCAGCAACACACCGCTCAATCCAATGTTTTTTTTTTATTGAAATTATCCCTTCGATTCAACTATGAATGAAAATAGAAAGTCGGTTTTTGTGTGTTATGTGGCTGTGGATTAGCTCATTATATTTGATCCCCCTCCGATATTTCGTTAATAAATTTCCCATTGCCATTTGGTGGTTTTGCTCAATAATGCCACGAGCGTCTCAAAACCAAAAATACCAATACTACATTGCTGCCTGCTGTCACTGTTGGTCAAAGTTTTTCTCTCTCCTCTCTCTCTCTCTCTCTCTTCCGGAAAAAAATAGTAACTGCCGCGCGCGCGTTAATGAACCGAGAGAAAAAAGTTTGCACACTCAAACGAAAAGTTATTAATGTCTCATTTTTAATTAAGTCTGAAGGAAATAACTCGTAAATGGATATGGGGTGGGAAGAAAAGTGGTGGATCAAAATCGAATTTGGTGTTGACTTATGATTTTTCGATTTCCACTCTTCCGGCTATGAAACAATCATTTTCATTAGCATCGGCCACACGTTTCATTTTCTCACTATTTTAACATGGAAATTGAATTTGGCCGACCATGGACGCCAAATGTGTGGAATGGGATCGCGTGTGCATGTACGTGTGTGTGTATATATATAGGAATGAATTGGGACAAGTCAAAGTTGTTGCAAAACATTTTCGAAAACAGAGTGAAATGAACACAGTTTCGCTTCTAAAATCATGTGGCGAACAATAAATGTCAATCACACTGAGCTCAGCCCTAGCCACAAAGCATTTCGTTGAAAATTGTGTGTGGTTTCGGGCGTTCGTTCGCGACAAAATTCGTGCAAAGTATGGTGTGAGTGGCGAGCATCTTTTGAAAATTACGATAATTTCGTTTTTTTTTTTCTTCTTTGGGTGATTTTCTTAACCGAATCATATTGTTCCTGAACGGTCTTGATGCAGTGACATGAACGTACTTTGGACCATCATGCATACAAAATTGATAGCATATAACCATGGCAAAAACAGTCGTAAGACCAACACCGTTTTTCTTTATCTTTTTCTTGGTCGGTTTTGTGTGTCGTGCTCGTTTGATTTTTTTTTTTTCTTTTGCTCTGTGCATGCTTACTTACGTGAAGGGAATAGAAGAGCGCGCACGAGAGCGCGCTACGATGACACAAAGACAAGACCTAAATCAGTACATGTGTATAATACGCTGTTGTCCTATACATAAATATCGTCACTCTGCAAACTGTGTAACTGGCAAACAGTTGTTTCCGAACGAAATTCGAAATGAAAAATCAAAGTGTGGAGAGCGCGCGCGGTGTGGCTCTGTGAGTGTGCGTTTGGCATACTTTGGAAACTACGTGTGTGTAGTGATTGTATAGGCAAAGATAGTCATCGGTGTGTGCTTACAAATATATGTATATATATAGAAATGTATGTATATCAGGTCGTTCGCGAGTGTGTGTCCCACTCCCTGTTTTTTTTTTTTCATGTACATACATATTCTCTTCTCTTCACAATGCTGCAGAAGATAGCACGCGAAATATTATTCCAAATTCAAATATCCACTATAACATACATTCGGAATAAAGCACCGACATGCTGCTGCTGCCTGTGTCAGTATGTAGCCCGAGTTTGCTGTGCTATTTTTGTTGGAATTTCCTTCCATTCGATGCGGTACAAGATTGAGCACGCTAAAATGCTACACATTTTGAAAGTTGATCTGTTGTTCGATGTTTTATTCTTCCTTCTCCTACCGATTCCCTCTCTCTCTCTCTCACTCGCTCTGCCAGAGAGAATCCATCACACCGAAACAATTGCGGCTGATTGTAATTAAAAACATGTGACAGAAATTCCCTTGAGCTAGCACTAGCGCTTGTTTGCGCTCGTTAACAATTTGATGAAGAGAGTTTTCAATACGTTCCAACACAGCGTACCCATTTTGCAAACAGCCAAAAAATTATCACAAAGAAAGAGACGAAGACGAAGAACAATTAATCGAAATGCAAGAAATGAGAAGAAGCGCGAGCGAAAGAGAGAGAGACAGAGAGAAAAAGTAAATAAAAATTGTTAGTCCGAACGACCGACACTCAAGCATAAAATAATAAGCGAACCATAAAGTAAATTAAAGCCGTAAATTCGACTTCACGAAATATACTCGCGGTCGCGCGCGCGCGCTTTTTGCGCGCACACACACTCGAACATTTCCAGTTAAATAAAATTATAACACAGTAAAAAATGGATGAGAAATAAAATAAAAACGAAGAAGAAATAGGATCGAATACGAAAAGACATGTCATGTATTAATATTCCATGAGTTTCTGTGCTATTCTTCATTATAATATTATTGAATGTGAAGCAGTGAAGGAGAGTGAGTGAGCCAGCGAGAGCTTCGCTGTACGTCTCTCTCTCTCTCTCTCTCTCTCTCTCTCTCTCTCTCTCTCTCTCTCTCTCTCTCTCTCTCTCTGTGTGTGTGTGTGTGTATGCGTTGGTGAGTGAGTGTGCGCGTGAACGACTGTAGCCTACTTTGTATGTTAAAACTTAACATCGGCATAGTCACTGCTATATACAATGTATAACCAATTCAAGTTTATATAACCGATACGATCACACTGTGGCCCGAAAAAGCACTACATTTCGGTAAATAATGTATAAAGTGTGCTACACAGTGTGAGTGTGTGCTATTCTGCCACTCAGTTCCAACTATCGCGCGCGCTTCACTCACACTCACACAATGTGTGTATACATTCAGTTGGTTCGGTGTTGAGAGAATAGCGCAATGCGAGCAGTACACATACATGGCTACTGCATGCGGGAGTGTAACAGAGACGGAACGAGCATGCCACTTATAGGGACATACACGTAGCGAAAAAAAGAGGAGAGGAGCGGAGCAATGAGCGCGAAGTGAAATGTACGAAAAATTTACATACAAAACACAGGCGCAACGAAGCAATACGATCATTGTGCCTGTGGTTGTAGCCAGCATAACAGCTCTAGAGCGCGCTCCGGCCTCGTGTCGCTCTCTCACTCGTTCGCTTCGCTCTCTATCTCGCTGTTCGCTCGTTCGGTTCGGTTGGTGGAGAGCGAAACGAAGAAGTAAAAGTAAAAACCTATATAAAATTATTTTTGTGAGCGCACTCGAGTTAAATGTATGTGCGTCAAAAAGTTTAATTCGTTCATTCGGTGTTTGTTCGTTGTCGCGCGTGGATGCTTTTTTAACTTAACTCGCGTTTGTGTGAAATATAATATATACATACATATATCGAAGAAACAGAAGAAAAAAAATTTCCTACAAGTTTTACTCAACTATTTAACTAACTTGCAGTAAAAAAAAAAGCAGAACAGTAAAAAAAAATTTCCATTTTGAGTCAAGACAAAAAAAGAAGAAGAATTGTTTTATATTCCTTTTATTTGCTGTTTTTTTTTCTGCTCCATCGTGCGGTTGTCATTTGCACGTTTACACATTTTCACTTGGAAGTTTTTTTTTTCGCTCAGTAAATTTCTTGGAAATTTTGTTTTTTTTTTGTTCGGTTTTGTTTTAAATTCATTTCAACTGCATACGGACGAGGAAAAAAAATAATTGTCATTTTCGTAAACGGGAAATTGCGGCTACTTAAATTCGATGAGAAAAAAACTTGTAAATTTTTTTTTTCTCCAGTATTGTTGTCGTCGTCGGAAAATAATCATAATTCAAAGGAAATAAAATGCACATATTTTCTGAAGAATCTTTGAAATTTCGTTTAATCATTTTTGTAAGTTGGTCGTTTTCTCTTTTTCATTAACCAAAAAAAAAAAAAATATACACACACAAATAATAACAGCAAATTTCGTAGTGAATTTTTCGGTTCTGTCAATTGACACGTGCAAAGTTTTTTTTCTCTCTTCTAAAAACCATGGATACAAACTCTAGATTCTCTCGTTCCATCATAATTTCCGTAACAATTCCGTTGCAGTTCCAATTAAGTTAGTGATGGTTTTTCAATTCGTCAGAATTTTGTTGTTCGTTTTCATTTCACATTCTGTTGTGCAGTCAAAAAGATTTGATTCTTTTCTTGCAGAACGAAACTGATAAAATTTAAAAATAGTACGAAACGAAAGAAAGAAAATAATTGTGAGCGCAAAAGAAATCAAACGAAAAAAAGGTACACACAATTTCAAGTAGTAATTACAACAACGCAGCAAAGAGAAGAAAAAAAAAAAACGGGGCGCAATCAAAACTGGTTTACGAGGTTACGTAATGCAACGAGAAAATTGAAGAGAAATTATAATGGAAACTGAAGAAGAAGAAACAGAAGAAAAAAAAACTACTGACCGAGTCACAACTATATACACAAGACACATAAATTAACTTAATACTCTTATATAGCGAAATTATAACTTGAAATCAATTTTTTTTCGTACGTTGAAACAACATCGCTTCGGCAGCTAGCTGTAGTGCCTTGTTAAAGCCAACGAGTGTGCTCTCCCTCTCTCTCTCTGTGTGTGTATTTGCTCAATATCATCCATACACATGCGACAGCCACAAAAGAAGAAAAAAAAATACTCGTTTTATATTTTTATACAAAGCGAACAAGCGCGCGCGAGAGATATCGAAAATAACAACAACAACAACAACAAAAAAGAAGAAAGAAAAAACGCCGCCGTCAAAACTATGGAATACAGGGAAAAAAAATTGTTGGAAAAAGAAGAAATAGTCGGTCGCACACACTAATAAATTGAGGTTTTTTTTTGTCGTCATCGTTTTCGTGAAATTGCTTTTACATATACGTTCCTCTATATACAAATATAATCGCGCGCGCGACCTAATTATAAGTACATATATTTCCGCATTGTGTGTCGGCCATTTTGTTGAGAGTGAAGAGTAGAAGAGAGAAAAACGCGATTGGCGAAATCAAACAGAAACATTCCTATATACAACATATACATATTCATATTTGACTCCGGAACATTTGACATATTTCTTTTGGGTCTCCATTTTTGCACGCTGCAAATCGTAAATTTTAACCATGTCATTCATTTTACCGAGCACATCGTACATTTGTTGTGGTTTTCTTATTTGTTGTTGCTGACTTGATACAACAGCATTCGTAGCAACATTCTAATATTTCCGATAAATGGGAAGACCCGAAAGAAAAATTGCTGTGAATTATAAATAACAAGAGTTGCTGATCGTGTTTCTCCCTCTATTTCTAGCCATCGCTTGCGCTCTCACTTTCACTTTTTTTCTCACTCGCTCGCTTGCTCGCTTTCAGTTCGCTTGACTTTGTACACACAGAAATTGTATGCGTACGCAACTTGGTTCCATTTTTCTTTCATGATTGTTGTTGTCGTTAAGTCGATGGTTCATAGTTTCGTGTGTGTGTACGCGCCGCGTGAGAAATATTTCGCTTTACAACTAAATTGTATTTCATTTCAACAAATCAGCCGATTTTTCTGTGCATTGAAGTTGACAGCAATTGAGTTGTTTTTTTTTTCGATTCTGTCATGAACAAGCGTTGTGTGTGCGAAACGAAAGACACAACGAGTCAAACAGAGGGAACGCACTTGCTCAGTGACACACATAAAACCAAGCAGCAACGATATATAATGAAATACTGTGTGCCACTTGAATTAGTCATTATTCGATACAGGAGCCGTCGCAACTCATTCGAACCCATTGTCGAAAGAGAGTTAGAGTTATCGTAGAGCGCGTACGGCGTTATTACTTGACGCATGTGTTGAAATTAAAGCATTTTGAACAACGAGGCAAAGTAGCACGGCGAAATATACACAGCAACACACACACACACACACACCAGGAGCGAGAGCGAGAGAGATGGGTGAAGAGCAAACGAGCAACGTAGTAATTTTTGTATAGAGCTAATACACATCGTGATGACGCAATCCCAAAAAAATTCCAGATGGAAATGAAGGGATCATCCGTTTGTTGTTTGCTATTGACGAAACAATATTGCGCACACGCATACCATATTCCATATCGGATGCCAAGTTTCCGTTGCCGTTTCCTTACATTTCCCATTTGATTTGATTTCTTTTATAGACGCGTTTGGGCCGCTTTTCATTGCTCTGAATATCCGTTTGGGAGCTTTCCATTTGATGACAAAATGTACACACGCTATACACACATAACGAAAGCTTGATGGCTTTTCTCTCTCTCTCTCTCTCTCACTCACTCTCTCTCCTTCACTCGTTCGCTCGCTTATTCGTTCTTCACCTCTTGATCGTCTCTTTTTATTTCTTCATTCGTGGAAGTAATCAATTTTCGTGCACACCCGAAATCGATTAATAATTCATTTTGCTATCAAAATGAGATACCGAATTACAATACACACACTCACACAGGCCATACACAGCTTTCAGCGACCGAACGCTAAAAATGAGAACGAAAAAAATAATCCATACACACAATTCACGTAGCAATAAACGAGAAAGAATGAGAGAGAGAGAGAGAGAGACGATACAAAGAGAAGCACAAACAAAACCACGTTTATATTACATATATACATGTATATCCAACGTTGAATTGGGAACGAGGTAGACGCAATGGAGAAACTAACAATAACAGGCTATAGACTAGAGAGACTATACACGTTGAATTAACACACGAATAATGAAAATGAAATGTAAGCCAAGTAACTGTATGGACTTTGAAATCGAAGCGCGAGCGCAGCAGCGTGCTCTCTGTGTGCACAATTTCATCGACGCCACGATCCAAAGTCTTCGAAAACGATTGAAAATGCATATACATGCTCTCTCTCTCTCTCTTTCTCTCTCTCTCTCTCTCTCTCTCTCTCTCTCTCTCTTGGCCCGTCTTTAAGCCAAGCACATACACACAGAAAGTCCAAACACGCAACAACGAGTTATTAGTTCTTGCTTGAAATTGACTGTGTGATTCTTCGAATAGCGGAACAGCAGCAGCAGCAACAAGAAAAGAAGAAACAGAATAGAAAAAAACACCGACAGAGTTGTATTAGTCGGTTCGATTCGCGTCCCACTTTAAGAATGTGTGTGTGTTCGAAGTCGGTGTTTGCTTTTTTTTTATTGACTCATTAGAATTGAAATTGTCATGAGGTTATGATTGCCATACGAGAGTTTTGTTTTTTTTTCTGACTTAATTCAATCGGATGAGGTACAGACGCTAAATACACGGCTCTCTTTCTTTCTCACTCGCTCACTAGCTCTTACACGCACACTGTTCTTCTTTTTTTCTGCTTCTTTGTTGTTGCTGTGAGATCAGTGAATCGAGCGTATCTCGCAGTTGTCGCATCATATCATACGAAAGTTACGTTTTCATTCGTTTACACTCAAAGTTGAAGCTCTGGCAAAGTTTGGTGAAATCGTATTTCAAGTCATAGAGCCGTTCCATTACAATCATTCAATCATATTGCCATCAAATTTTTCTTCAGAAATCTGTACGTATATGTGTGTAAATATGATTACGTCATCACGTATTGTTTGATTACAAAGCAGGCGGTCTTCATTTGAGTCGAAATTTTACATTTGTCATTGTCAGAAGTTGGTATTCTCACTTGTTTATTGTTATTGCTTATTTTCATGAGTGTGTGTGTGTGTTTTTGTATCTTTCTATATCTTCATCTCTGTTTTTCTTTTCACATTTTTTTCATTTGTTCCATTAATTTTTCACTAAATTTAAATTTAAAAAAAAAATCTAGGGAGATGTTGGAGCCACAGCGCACGGGTGAAATTATCATTTGACTATTGCTTTCTGTGGGAGTGAGATCGGGGCTTACTGTAAATTAACCATTTTTTCAAGTCAGTCTTTTTCTCTCTCCTATAGACGCAATAGATACACAGCTTTAAATGCCCGATACAACAACAAAGACTTGATATGAAATCACCGTATTTTTTTTCTCTCTCTCTCTCTCTCTCTCTCCCTCTCTACACTATCGTCGAGCGTTGTTGTTATGTTCGTCTTTGTCCAAGTGTGTTGTAGTTCATCTGCTTCATGGGTACATATTGAAATCGTTGCTTTTCCCTTCTACCAAACTAACGAAACTCAGGCTATGAAAAAACCTTTCGAAGAAGAAAAAAAACGTCAGCAACAGAGAGACCGTTCGTTTTTGTATCTATCTCGTGATAAATTTTCTCGTCGCGACGGTACGGAGAAGCATCTGAATTAGTATATGCACGTTGAAATGCGTATTTGGGTCAAGCAAACGAGCAACGAACGAAAATCAATGACAAAGCCTCGGGACTTTTTTTTCTGCTACAACTTCTTTGAAACAAACACGTTAGTGTTTTTTTTTTCATTCGTTCATTTGAAACAACCGAGCACATTCAAAGCGGCCGTTTCAAAGTTTTTTCTTTTCGAAAATATCGAACGTAAATGTGATCAAGCGGAACATTAAATTCCCATTGCTCGCTTTAACTGATTAAATTGAGCAATACGAGGCGCGCGAGCTCGAAAAATCGTAATACACGCTGAAATGTGTTACAACGTGGTGGTCGTCGTCGTCGTCGTCATCATCATCAGCCGAGATAAGTGTTCCCTATTACACACTTTACCCAATATGTACTCATTTTGGCGGCAGCCACTGCAACTACTTCAAAATGAGTTGAATTGTGCACATTCATAGCCCAACGACAGCGTTGACTAAAACAAGACCAACAACAACAACAGCGTCGACGTTCGGAGAAATATGCAGTTCGCCTCCATTGTGGACAATCAAATGCGAGCGATTATACACATTGGACCGTTTTGTTTCTTTACTCGCTCAATGTGTGTGTATATGTGTAGCTTTTTTTCTTCTCTATTTGCCAGCTCGTCGCCGTCGAACGTGACTTCATCATCATACGTGCATTCGCACGTATCCAGATATATCGCAATGTACAGTAGAAACTAGAGTGACGCTAGCTTTGAAATGATTTTTTTTTGTAATATGATTTGATTTGTATATTTGCTGGGCCTGCTTTGTATACCATTTTTTTTGTGCATAAGCGCAACTATTCGAAAGATAGTGCAAAAACACAAAAATTCGTGTTGTTGAATCGATGAAAATACTCTTCGATTCCGACGACCGAAATTATGTAAGCGATGCGCGTATATGCAATAGCAAAGAAAGAAAAAAATATGAGCAAGCACACAACTGGCAAACAAACTAATCAAATGTTACATAAAAAAAAGATTAAAACATTTCAATTTGAAAATGGCTGTGGAACTTTTGTTGATACTGAACCCAATTTGAAATACATCAAACGGCGCATCATGTTACATCTATAATACTCGTTGTCGTCGCCCCCTCCAACCACATTTTGAAATGATGAATGTTTTTTTTTTCTGTTGCCTCTTCTTGGTTTTTCCTTTCTTTTCTGTTTTCTCTTTTGCAGGAAATGTTCGTGTAATTTTCGGCGAAATTTCAACACAAAATATGAAGCAACCAAACAA